AGACCCTGGCAGAGGTTCAACGTCAGCCTCTGACGTCCCGGTTCTTTGCTTTCGCGCGGGCTCGGGGAATATTGAGGGCGGGCCACGTTAACGCGTTCCTGGATCCTGTTGGGAGGGGAGGCAGGGAATCCTGCTCTCCGGCACCAATGAGAGCCCACAGGTGCCACCAGCCGCCCCATGCTGGGTCTGAGGGCCACCCCATGCAGTTACACAGGCCCGGCCAAGTGGTGGAGGGCCCTTAACAAGTCCTGAGACCGGGACCACAGAAGGCCGTCTGCTGGCTACCTCTTGAGCCCAAACACAGCAGGGGTGCTCACCACTCTTCCCCAGCAAGGGCAGGCCGGTGCCAGGCTCACCCCAGACTCCTGGGCCTGAGAGGGCAGGGTCACGTGGAGTTGTGGGCCACCCCCCACCCAGACTGACTTCTGCTTCCTCTTTTCCCCTCTCCGTACCCTAACGTCCCTCCACAGTGGCAACAGCAAAGGAAAGGACATCAACACAATTAAGTCCCTCCGAGTCCTCCGGGTGCTACGACCTCTTAAAACCATCAAGCGGTTGCCAAAGCTCAAGGTGAGATTGGGGCAGGTGGGAGGCCCGTCAGGGTTGCTGCCGTGTACAGTTGGGCAGGTTGAGCACTGCTCAAGGACACGACACTGAAAGGGGTGCTGGTAACATCACATCCATCGTAGATGGATGTATTTATTATTACAGCTTTCCAGCAGATGGCAGTAAAGTACGTTGACCTGACAGAATCTGTGTATTATGACAATTTTCCATTAGATGAAGCGTCTTGAGGTCAGGATCCCCTTTCCTAATTCCCACGAAGCTGTCGTATGGATAACAGTCGGGCACAACCCTAATGTGGGAAGCAAGAAACTAGGTTTCTGGTCCCACGTAGCTTTTGACTTTTCGCCTACCAGTTCTAGGTTCGAATATCTCCTGTTCCTCAGCAGTGTGAACCAGTAGTTCCCGGAGCTTGTCATTCAGGAGAAAAGAAAAGGAAATGAAACCTAGTCATTCAAACGCATCTTTCCAATTGGTGTTCCACCTGAGGACCACCTGTATCCTCTCTTCATGTTTATTTCATTGATCACTTTTTTAAATTTCAGTGAACATATTTATTTTTTTTTTAATTTTTTTTTTCAACGTTTATTTATTTTTGGGACAGAGAGAGACAGAGCATGAACGGGGGAGGGGCAGAGAGAGA